TGGGAATAAAGCGGGCAGCGCGCGCCGCAGGCCCCCCGGGGGCGCCGCGGACACTCACCCCGAGCTCCGCAGGCCGCCGGCGGGGCGCGCTCGGGGCTGCCGGGCGCGGCGGGGCTGGGCGCAGGGCACCGGCCTGGGCTCCGCCGCCGCCGCCGGTCGCAAATGCGGATCTGAAACCGGGAGAGGGCAGAGGCGCTGAGACCGCTGCGTGCGCGCCGCCCGGGCCCCCGCGGGGGATGTGTGTCACATCCGAACCGGGGCGAGGGAGCACGGACGGATCCCGCTCCCCCGGTGGATGGCGAGGGGCAGGAAGCTGGGTACGGCCCGTGCGCGGCCTCAATAAATAATAATGTGATTAGATTCTAGACCTAGAGGAAAAAAAGAAGCCAGCCGAGCGGCGGCGAACTCACGCCTTCTTGGAGCCGCGCCAACACCAGAAATAGCCCCGACTCGGAGTTCCAATTAGAGGAGCGCAGCCCCGGCTCAGGGGAGCTTAAAAAGAGCGACCCAGGGGCAGGGGGGACGGGCCCGCCCGCGCCAGCCGTGTCACCGGGGGGCGGGGCCATGCAAATGAGCCCGGGGATTTAAAAGCGGGGCCGCCCGCCCGCCGCCGCCGCCGCCGCGCGCGGGTAGTTGCCGGGCCCGCGGAGGCCGCGCGCGCTCCGTACGCGCGGGGGCGCGCGCCGACGGCCCCGAGCTCTCGCAGTTCCCCGGCTGGCACGCCGGGGAGGGGCCGGGGAGGGCGGCGGCGGCGGGCCTGCCGTCGCCGTGGGGTGCCCGGGGACGCCCCTCGCGGGCTGGCGCCGTCGCCCGCGGAGGTCCACGGCCCGCACGCACCTCCTCGCTCCCCGCGCCGACGGTCGCCCCTGCATCCCTCCCCGTGGCCAGGCAGGTGACGGCATGTGCGTCGCTGGTGGCCACACGGCGCGTGCAGACGCCGGTCTTGTGAAACCCAAATGTGAAAGTTGGCAGATGCCAACGGTTTAAATGTGGTAACGGCCGCCACCCAGGTGCAGGCACTCCTGGGGAGCCCAGCCATTGGCTCCTCCGCGGGTACCCTGGAGGGAGGAGCCAGGAGCGACCTGCTCCGCGATGTTAGAGAAGCACGCTGCCCCACCGGTGGGATCCCCTCCACTGAGACCTCAAGGCAGTTAGAGAGGCCAGGGGCACCTGGACGCGCCCTGAAGGCAGGGGTTCGAGTTTCCCGCCTCTGGGGCCTCGCTCAACAAAAGACTTGTTGCCAGGCCCCCGGAGAAAGCCAGAGTGGGAAGATGGCGCGCGGGGAAGCGGGCGCACAGGCGCGCCCTGCAGGCCGGGCGGGCGCGGGCCCCGGACGCACCTCCCCACCTCGGTTCCCGAGGCGGCCCTTCCACACCTCCCGTGATGCAGGCAATTGCAATGCGGGCCCAGTGACACACGGCTGTGACTCACGGCTCCGCTCCCCCTTCCTCCGCGGGTCAGCCCTCTCCTCGGGGGGCGCGCGGGCGGTGCCAGGGGACGCGGGGCCCAGCGTGCGCCCGGCCGGGGGCGGGGTGGGGGGGAGGCGGGCCTCCCAAGTTTCAGGAATGCCTCAGGAATGTTTCCGGTGGGGGGTGGGGAGCGCGGCGGGCCCAGCCCCCCACGGGCCGTGGGATGGCGCCCTGGGCGCGGGGCAGCACGTGCTCGGTGGGGGTGGGGCGCGGCGGGAAGGCGCGGGAGGCCTAGGGCAGGCTGCCGGCCCGCGGGGGGTCCGGGAGCAAGGTCCAGGTGACCCCCAACCCCTGCAGTGCCACCGGAGAGGGAGGAAGTCCCGGAGGGGCGGGCCACCGGGTGGAGGGGAGCCTAGGGCGCCGGGGCAGTCTGGGGGAGGAGCGGCTGCCCCTTTGTGTGCAGCCGCTGTGGGGGCGGGGCGGGGTGGAAGCGCGCCGCGCCCTCCATCTTTGTGCCCCGCGAGCGGAGTTGGCTGGAGGGGCCCGAAGTTGCTGCGAGCCCCGGGGAACCTTCGTTAACGAGGTGTGGTTGAGCAAGCTCTCAACTCGCACCAGCGCCAGCTCTTCCCAGGGTACAGGCCATGGCCAGCAGCCTAGGCCTCTAGGCCCTTGCTAATGGCGTTGAAGCGGGAAAGTGTGGGGATGGCCCTGCAGGCCGCTTCCCCCAACGCCGTAGCGACTGACCCCTCTCGTGTAACGCCTCTGACCTTCGGCCATCCCTGGGAGAGGAATGGAGTCCAGAAAGGGATATCCTTCCTGAGTGGGCTTTGGGAAAACTTGGCCAATTGCTTGGTCTACTTTTAGTAAATTGGCTTGATCTTATTTTTCCACTTATTTCGCTTCGTCCTGATTTCCTCACCGGCTTGTTTTGTATCTTGTGTGTGTTTGTGTCAGCTACCTAAGACCCACTCTAGAAGGAGGCAGGTATAAGTACATTTCTAGGCCGTCTCCTGCCTTGTCCACTCCTGAAATACAAACAACTGCCCACTGACCCCATGCACACAACCTCCATCTTTCTATCTTGCAGGGCCCTGAATTCCATTCCTTTCCTTTTGTAGTATTAAGATTTAAGCAGAAGAGTGGATGGTTGGGATGGGGGGGCGGTGAGGCGTCCTATTGAACTTCATGTCTGTAGAGAAACAAAGCCATGTAACAGACCAGGCAGGAGGCAGCCACGAGGTTTGAAAACCTTGTTTGACTTTCACGTTCTTAGAGGCCTGTGAGTGAGGAAGGCTGTGTGCGCTTTAGAAGCGTGGACTTGCTGCAGGTCCTTACAGATTTAGCGGGAGCTCCTGGAAGCCAGCTGAGCTAGCCAGGAGCCTGTGCAGGCCGGCCTGGGATCTGGAGAGGGGGTGGAACAGGTTTCTGGGCCTGAATCAGAGCTGCCTTCCATGTTTAGTCAAGCACGGGCAATGACCTTCAGAGATCCCAACTGCAGAGGGCAGGTGAGCTGCGTCCTTCAGTTGGGACACGTAGAAGGACTGGTAGAAACAGTGCTGTCGACTTGGAGGCCAGTTCCCCGAAGGGCATGGGGAGGGATAGTCTGGTGCTCTGTGTTGCCCTACACAGAAAGTAGAAGACGGAATCCCAGCACCCGGGAAGGCGGAGGCAGGTGAAACGCTGTGAGTTCGAGGCTAGCCAGCCTGGTCTACACAAAGCGAGTCCAGTACATCCAAGACTACACAGAGAAACCCTCAAAAAAACAAAAAACAAAAAAACAAACAAAAAGAAGACAGAAAGACGAGAAGTTGAACTTTGACAAAGGGAAGCCTGGAATGAGAGGCCCTAGGTTTGTGCCTCAAACTTCAATAAAAAATGACTGAGGGCCAGCTGTGGAAGTAGAGGCAGGCAGCAGCACATACATAGAGACTGTGTCTGCAAAGAAAAACAGTGAGCATGGTGGTACTCAAAGGCTGAGGCAGGGTAAGAGCTTTTGGCCGGCCAAGGCTATGTAGAAAGGCCTTGTCTCACAAAACAAATAGAATGATGGAGGCTTGCTTTTACTCCCAGCACCTAGGAGACAGAGGCAGGTGGATCTCTGTGAGTCTGAGGCCAGCCTGGTCTACATACTGAGTTGCGGGACAGCCAGGACTACATAATGAGACCCTGTCTGATTTTTTTTTTTTTTTTTTTTTTTTTAAAGCTCTAGCAATGGCTCAGCTCAGTAAAGGTGCTGGGGACAGGCCTGATTCCCCGAGTTGCATCCTGGGATCCCAGATGGTGAAGAGGGAGAAGCAACCCCCACAAGGTGTCCTCTGACCTTGTGTGCCCCACACATGTACATGAGGTAATTCTGTGCACACTGGAAGAATGAGACAAGCGGCCCCGAAGCTTGTGGCCAGGCTGCACTCTGTGGCAAGTGCTTGTCACTGCGATATTAGGTTAAAAACAAACAAACAAAAAAACTCCCCCAATATAAGCAAGAAATTGCCCATTTTAAGTGTTTTGCACCATGATTTTTGCAGAGTGAACACCTCTGAAGCAACTGTGCTAAGATCAAGGAGTAGGTCTTTCTCTTCGTGGCAGAGCCAGCGTCTCACCTGCTTGTCTCCAGGCACATACGCTGGCAGTCGGTTGCGGTCCCTCAGACTGACTTCCTCAGCCTTTTGCCAGGCAGTCATCCACGTCACTGCTCTCAAGACTCTGTGCTTACCAAGTGTGAATGCCCAGCAGTTTGTTGAGCCTGTTCTGCTGAAGGGTTTCTGGGTAGTTGCTGCCTCTGGCTGTTAAAGGGCATGCTGCCATGGTGGCCTGAGGATCCACCGTGAGCAGATCGGCACATTTGGGTGCCTGGCTGGGAGAGGAACTGCTAGGCCATGGGAGATGAGTGCTGGGCTTCAGCAGGCACACAGGACACAAGTGACAGGGCCACTCACAGCCACCACCTGACAGCAGGCGTCAACCTGACCCAGCGCAAACCAGCCAGGACTGACCCATGCCGGCCAGGGTTAGGTTGGCACACAGTGCTGGCCCTGGGCCACACCAACAAGGTCTGCTCCATGCCAGCTGCTATTGGGGCCCGCCACCCTGCCACAAGGTGCTTGCCCACTGTCAGGGAGTCACCCAGTGCGTCTGGTCCTCTGGCAGGATCAGGCCTCAACCCTGCTGACCACAAGCTCCGCAGCCAGGAAGCCTGGCAGGCTAGGGGGGAGGAGGCCTCTTCTGGTTCCAACTTTCGAGGGAAAAACTGTCAGGCAGAGAGAACAGACCAAGAGGGAGTACCTCTTTGCCTGTCTTTCTCTCTGCTGTGAAATCCAGGACACACACACAGAGGGAGGGAAAGAGAGAGAGAATATATCCCCAGGTAAAACAGCTCTTCTCCACCTTCAGAAGAAACCTGAGGAAGAGGTGGGCTTGGTGAGCAAGAGCAGAGCTATGAAGCTTGCTTCACTCCTTCAGTCTCCCCTACTGTCGAGCAGTATTGCTACCCCAATCCTAAGGGAATTAAAACTGAGGCTTGGTCCGGCCAAGGGGGCATGGGCTTTAAGACCCAGCACAGAAGAGGCAGAGGCAGGCAGATCTCTCTGTGTTCAAGGCCAGCCAGGCACACACAGTGAAACCCTTGTCTCAAAGAAAGCAAACGGAACTGTGGTTAGGCTCCGCCCCTTTCTTCCCAGCGCTGCTCCTTTCAGCCTAGGCAGAGGCCGTTGTGGGCCCCGGCCTTGAGCAGGGTAGCTACTTCTCAAGGTGCTCACATTGGGTGGAAGGGGAGGAGGACAGAGGAGGACTCTGGTGTGGTCCGTCGACGAACAGTGCAGGCTCCCAGGCCTGGGTCGGGGAAGCAGCAGTGCAGACCAGAGAGATGGCTGGCGTGGGGGTGGGACAGGCTGGCAGGCTGGCATTCAGTCTCCTTGCCCCCACCCCCGAGGCTGCTGCCTTAGGCGCTAGGTCTCAGGGACAAAGAGTGACAAAAGGAGAAGCCGGGGCAAAAGGGCTCTGTGGCACCCCCACCAGGAGCTCTGAGGAATGCCCAGTTGCCAGTGCTTGCGGGGTGAGGATACAGTTACGGTGGCAGCCAGGCTTCCCGGTCGGTCGGTCCTCCTCCTCGCCTCACTGGGGC